CCGCCGGGGCCTCGGGAGCTGCGCGGCGGCAGAAGCTCGCTGTCCAGGAAAGATCTGGGGCAAAGGAGGGGGGAAAAAAGAGAAGAGGCGGGGCCTGGTGGCCCCTGGCGTCCAATATATAAATCACTGCCCTCGCCCCGTCCCAGTCCGCGCCCGGGAGAGGGAGAGCACTCTCTCCAGCGTGGGACCAGAGAAGAGTTGCTGAAGAACCTTTGGAAACCCACCCACCCACCCACCGCCCCCCCAAAGGCTTAGGGTGCCCTGGGCTACCTAGCTTCTCGCAGCGCACTTCTTTGGTCTCTCACGCCCGCGATCCGCAAGGGATCGGAGATCCAGGACTGGAACCGGGTGCCTGGGAGGCACCTCTTCGCGGGAAGGGGAAACCCACTGGCCCACGCTTGGGGCAGAGGGCTGGGAAGTCGAATCGCTTCTGAGGGGTGATTGGGATACGTCCCTGCAACCCCAGCCCCCGAGGTCCTGAAACTTGCGGTCAGAGGGGGCAGAAAGTGGCTTTCCAGGGGCGCACAGTGAAATTGGCCAGGGCTGAAGGAGGCTCCGCTCTTTCAACTGGGCTCAAAGTCAGACCTTGGTCCGGAATTTGGACCAGGGGTGAGGTCTTCCTTTAAAAAGGTGGGCTTCTGCTGGGGCCTGGGGAATGATAAAGAGCCAGTGGCTTTCCTGGCTTAGGAATTTCCAAAGGGTCTGCCTGGGCCCCGCACCTGCCCAGTTGGATGCCCAGTTCCTTCTCCCCCTTTCTATTCAGGGGACAACTTGAGAGGCAGCCAAGCCTTAATGCTTGCATGTGTTCCTGCGGGGCGCTCTTGGTCAGATTCGCCTGCTTGTCAAAGGCAAGACATCTCTGCCACTGCCCTACTGATGCATCAACGGCTCCACCCAGTCCCAGGTAGCCCATCCCTGCAGATGTGAACACAAAATTTACTCAAACTTACTCCGCTGTGAAGTTTCCATTGATGGACACACCCAGTACCAGAATGACTCAAAAGGAGGCTTCTTAGATCTTGTGAGTTTGCGAAAAACACTAAACGACGGTTAATATACAGCTGCCTTAGGACTTTCATCAGCTCCTCCACCGCAACACCCTCGTATCCGCCCCCAATTCAACAACTGTGTGCGCCCATGTGCTACTTGAAAGCTATGATAATAGTCCTCTAGCCTTCAGAACAAATGCGTGTCTCTGAGTTGGAGGGCTTCATTCATTTAAAGAGGCAGATTGGTTGTGTCTACACAAAGTAGGGTAAAGTGAGGACTAGATAAACCCCATTCACCCACCCTACACACTAATTCATGGATTGTTGAAAGGGAAAGGAATTGAAGTGACCCTCACACTCGCATTGTATCAGACACTGATAGATTATCTAATTTAACACTAACCCTGTTGGCAGAGTGGGTTCAAAAACACTTCAAACTTACTCCCATCCAGTCGATGGAGGCTATAGGAGAGGGTAGAACTGCCCCGGGGAGTTTTAGAGACTGTAATTCTTTATGGGAGTGGAAAGCCGTGTATTTCTCCCCCAGAGCTGGTGGTTTTGAACTGCTGACCTTGCAGCTAGCAACTCAACTCATAACTGCTATGCCTCCAGGGCTAAGTACAAGGTCAGCAGCTCAAACCCACCAGCCTTTTCTCAGGAGAAAAGAGACTACCTTTTCCAGTAAAGGCTTACAGTCTCAGAAATCTAAGGGGGGCAGTCCTAACTTGTCCTACAGGGTTGCTGCACGTTGGAATCCATTAAATAGGCAGAGATTTGGTTTGGGTTTGAAACCCTTGAAGCAAGATGGTGCTGTGGGTTGGGCATTGAACTACTAATCCAAGGACACTGGTTCAAACCCATCAGGCACTCTGAGGATGAAAGATGAGTCTATATGCTCCCATGACATGCTATAAGCCTTGAGAACATTATATAGGATCACTATGAGTCAGAAAAGGAAAAGGCCACCATGCTTGGTAGCGAGGCAACAACAAAAAGAGGAAGACCCTCAACAAGATGAATTGACACAATGACGGTAACAGTGGGCTTCAGCCCAACCCCAATTGTGAGCATGGCGCAGGCTTGGCTGGTGTTTTGTGTTCTGTTGTGCACTGGTCACCATGAGTCTCGAAAGATTCAATAGCACCTGATCAAAACAGCATGAGTCAATTGCCTTGATGGCTCTGGGTTTGGTTTAGTTGTTTGGGGGCCATTTGAAGCTAACATTATTTTGTTGGTGAAGGAAATGTCAGAAGGACAGCTAAAATGACTGATAATCCCCCAGCTAATTAAAGGCAGAGCTGGGTTCCAGGAGTTTAATACTGTGTCTCGCACCTCAAACATCCTTAGTCAGTAAGCAGTTAATACACTGACATATTTCCTCACGAAAAGGCAGCAGGCTCAGCTTTAATTTGTTTCCAAAATGTATGCAAAGCAAAGCTTGACAAACTTATTTCCTGACTACATAAGGTATGCAAAATGCAGGCAAAAATTACTAATGAATGTTTTGAAAAATCACTCATTTCCTGCCTGTAAAATCTAATGCTCTGATGTATCTTTAGTATTTGTGTGAGATTGAGTCACAGATATTAACTCATATAAGCCTTACACCAACTCGATAGGTTAGATATTAGTATTATCCCAATTGTACAAAGGAGGAAACTGAGTCACCAACATATGGCACATATGGCTTCACGTGGGAATTTGAGCAAGAAGAGATGCAGATTCTTAACCACAACCCCAAATCACTACGACAAACCTCAATTGTGTCAAAGAATGACACAAGGGGAATGCAATTCTCTCATAAATGTCATGGATGAGGTCAGCACCGAATTATCAAACCAATGCTTTACATAATGAGCCCGCATGCTTTGCAAGTGAGCATTTAGTAATCATCATCCTTGACAACACCCGTGAGATATAAAATGTAGATACCCACTACTTAGCAATAATATGAAGTAGGCAAAACTGTCACCAGTGCTTCCCTGCCAATTGCAAGTCCAGAACCCCAACAGACCTTTCGCATGGCTCTGAGAGTCACTTTAGAAAACGCACCCTCAGGCTGGTTCCTGGCTTCCAGACAAACAATAACTCCCTGGGAGATAAGCCCAATGGTACACTTGCCTTCTCATCACTGGGAGGTAAACATCTGATGTTCAATCTGCATTAAGGTTGACAATGGGCTCCATTCCTCTTTTTTTTCAAAGTAGCTTTACTATCTTTGATGCATGTTTTTTTTGTATCTTTTTGTAAAAGAGTTGCCAGATAAAGTCGTATGCCATATTTGGGATAGCACTTATACCAAAAAATCCTTCTTCACAGTTATTCTAGAATCCAAATCAAATGGGTCAAGCTATATATAGATAGATAGATAGATATTGCTAAATCTGGAAATTCTACTCTCTTTCCTAGTTGCTCCAGTTATTGTTCCAGCTCCTCTTTCTCTCAACCCTGTTAAGATCCAACCCTTGCTTTCCTCACTTCAGTACTGCAGAGTTATAACGCTACACCACAGAGAAAGCAGGCTGGGAACTCACTTCCCTTCCTTTCCAACTGCTGCTCATGACCCTTTCCCATCTCTTCCCCGCCTTTCCACCAGCTTCAGAAGGAAAAGCAG